CTCACTTCTATCAAATTCACTATTTATGTCGGAATCGTTTTCTTGCTGTGGTGAGTTTAAAACAGAGCCAATGATTTCATCATCCTCAGGCATCTGCTATGTAGTGTTGGCTCATTTGAACACATCATCCATTCAACAATATCTTCTTGCAAAGCCTTCTCATTTATTTTTTCTTTCGAATATAAAAGCAATTCTCTTGTTGCAAATATAAAAGCAAGTCTCAGTGTATCTTGCTACACTGAACCTAAAATCAGAAAATTCACTGTTATCACTCTCAGTTTCAATAAACAGAGAAGATGGCCATACATTACGCCGGGCATTTACTAATGTTGTTTAGTAAACATAATTCTATGATTCAGCTAACAAATAAATGCAGTCTTTGATTGTGGGGTTTTTTTTTTTTTTTTTTTTTTTAAATCACAAAGTGAAATATAGAATGGTCACTTGAAAAAAAAAATTTTTTTTTTCAAAAACTGATTTATAGCAGCATGTAATACTGTGTATTATGCCCTGGTCCATTAGTTGGATCAATTATGTAACATTTGGGGGCAAAAAAAGGGCTATAACATTATCACGTGTTAAAATGCTTGCATCTGGATGTGTAGAGCAGTTGTGTAACAATAGTAACATCTTGCAATTTGATGTTAATCCCACGCTGTTACAATGCCTTCTAGCCTCTTTAATGAAATGCTGCATGAACCATTCAGTCATAAGTTGTTTTGTGAACCAGGAATTTTTATTATTCCTGTAAATCACAGGTAAGGATTTTGCTCCTTTCAGAGCTCTGGGGTTGGTGCTTTTACCCACTACCACTGATTTACATTTGTAAGTTCCAAATGATAACTCTTTCTTTAGCTTCTTTCACCCCTGATGATGAACTTTTCTTCGCTTATCACAAATGTCCTTCTTGGCAAACATCACCAATAAAGTCTGGTCTCATCCATATTAGAAATCTGTTCTGGGCTGAGGTTTTCTTCTGCTACTAACACAGAAAATTCATCAATAAACTCCTCTGCAGCATCTTTATCTGTTGAAAGTTTTTTCCCACATGCTTTTAGATAACTTATACCGTGTCTCTGTTTAAATCTGTTCAGCCAACTGCTGCTGAAATCAGGCATCAATGCAATGTCTTTATGTTTTTCAACATTGCAAGCAGTAAAATCATGAGTGCGTTTCTTACCTGTCGTTGTATTAACCCTTATTTGCTCAGTGTTCCACTACATGGAACACCCATCTTGAATCCCTTCTGAAACTGCTAAATTCAGCCGTAAATGGATAAAAACTTCTCTTTTTAAATAGTAGATGGACATATCACAAGGAGCACCCAAATTTCCATTTATGATGAGTTATTAAAATTCACTTATTTTCTAGCAATTTTCTAAATTTTTTTGGTAATACAAAAAAAAAAAAAAAAAAAAAAAAAAAAAAAAAAAAAAATCTCTATAATTTTGATGGTTGTACTCTATATTTTTTGTACATTTTTCATACAAAAAGCATGTGCTGAATCATTAAGTAAAACGAGGTGTTCCATTAGCGGGAACACTGCGCCTTTAGCAATCTCATGTTATTGCGCATCAGAACATCTGTTGTATATGTTTTCTATTTCCGTTGCTTTGGGGGAATGAATTCAAACAAAGCAGTCTTGAGAGATGAGGTGTGGTTTGTGCTATGAAAGCCCTAATATAGGTATCTTGAAATTTTTGTGAGTAGTTTTCAGGTGGGAATTTTATCAGTAGCTCAAGTCAACTTTACTTACGGAGCTGCGCAAATTTTTTGCTGTCGCTTTTTAGTTTCATTTCCGTTTATTTTCAATAATTGTGTAGATATTTTTTGTGTATGTATATCTTTTAGCTTATTTTTCTTTATTGTTAATATTAATTGTAGTTAAATTTTTATTATTAATTTTCCATAAATGGGTGCAGAGAGGTCTAACTCTTTTCGAAGCTCTAAAAGTGCTTCATGAATTATCCTCTTCTGAATCAGAGCATGAAGACAGAAACGATACTGAGATATATGCTCCTGAACTATTTGTGTAATCCGATGATATGTCATGTGAAACTCATTTATTAGATGAGAAGGTTGATGATCCATCTCACCCAGGCCCCTCTACGCAACCTCAAGTTTTTAATTGGAATTCTAAACACATTGTTGCATGGAACAGAAGCCACACAAAACAAGTTTTGTGTTCAAAACCTGCAAAGTTGGTTTGTGCTTCTATCAAAAAGGTGTGACATGCTTTGAGCAATTTCACGAAGCTAAGAAATCGAAAAATTCGTAAATATTTTTGTACATAGGACTTGTGTATATACATATATTTATCTCATTTATCCGTATATGTTCAAAAATGTTGTGTATATCCAGAAAACCATGTATACAGCCATAATGCAGTGTTTTTTTTTTCATTACTATACTAAAGCTTCTACTTATTTCCGTGCTTCGCTGCAATGCTCGCTAAGTGGCACTTTTAAGAGCTCTATCGCCGCAGTGTTCCACCTCATGGAACACCCACAGAATTAAAACAGTAAGTGCAATTTTTACAAAATTTTACCTGTATACTCGTTTAGGCGTAGCTGTACTGATACAACTTTTTTTTTATTGAAATTCGGACTTTAAAGTATATTGCACCAAAAGGGATTAAAAAGCACTGAAATTTAAAATATTCTTCATTTATCCACAAAACAGCAGCACTAAATAATCTCATGAAAAAACAAAACTCAGAAAATACAACACTATGAACTTGAAAGAAGAGTTGAGTGAATCGTCTGCTTTTTTGCCTTGATGCAGATTAGAGGGGGAAAAAACTTTTAACATGATGTTAATAATTTGGTATTTCCATTATGACGTCATTATTCAGTAAGTATTTTTCCTTCGGTATTTCATTCTTCATGTTGTGGTTTCTGAAACCTATAAATTGAGTGTTTATATTTTGAGAGGCAACGCAGATTTCAGGTGGGCGGATTTTCGGTATTTGACTGTACTTGAAAGTTGTTATTTCTTAACTGTTGAGAACAAGAATGCTACACTAAGCACAATCCATGAATTCGAAAGGAACTATGGGGCAGGGATTTTATCCCACTTCTGACATTAAAATTTAAGTAAGGAAAACATCAGTACTAAATATTACTACAATCACCACTAAACCTCATCGAGTTATTACTAAACTATGATTTATTTGCATAAATTAAAATGAAAAGTAAAAAGAATAATCATCACATTAATTTCACTAGTCTGCATTAGCCATCGTTAACATCTCATCTGCTTCTAGATGGCATTTTAGCATTATCTGAGTTACAATCACAGTTGTATGGCTATTTCCTTCGTTCGTGTATCATTTCACAATCATCGTTCTGAACTAATTCTTCAATTTCTCTTTCTTCCTAATCTGAAATTCCTTTACCGCTTTACTTTTGTAATTCATGCAATTTCCTTGGCTTTATTTTCCGTCCATGGAAATTTTCTAAAATTGTAAAAACTTCTAGTCAAAGCTGATGCCAGCAAGCATTCATTTATTCCCATGCAAGTTTAATCATTTCTATACAGTATTTTATGTTAAATTGTCTCCATTAGTATGGATTAGTTTAATGTACTTTATTTGCAGAGATGTAAACCTGCTTGACATAATACGCTTTGAATGTTTTTATGATTCCTTGATCCATTGGCCGGATTAAAAAAATTTTATTAGGTGGAAACAATAAAACCTTTACATTTGAATGCAATGTTCTGAGTACATTGTCCTGGAGCATTATCGAGAGTTAGAAAATAAATGGATTTTCAACCAGTCATTAAAGAAGCTGTGCAATGCAGCCGACTCTCTGCAGCGTACCTTTTATAATTGAAATTCTATATTGGAGAAATCAAATGGAAACAATTAAGATAATACTTATATGCAAACTAATGTTCAACAAGGGTTTGCTGTATATATATATATAAATTGTTTAAATATTTACAAAGCTTACCACTGTACAAAAGCAGTTCATAATCATCTGTGGTGTGATTTTTTTTTAACGCTTATGCTTGCCATTCAAATTGCATCAAAAAAATAAATTACTATTTGCACATTTGAACTGTTATTCGGTTGTTTCAAAACGGTTGACAACAAGCATGATGTTTGTGTTGAACGAAACCTTCGTCTTCCACTCATTTAGTGCAGGGTTTCTTAAACTTTTTTCAGTCACGACCCCTTTTTATCACTGAGATTTTTTCGTGACCTCCAGGAACCCATAACATTTACAAAAATTTTGTGTTACCCCATAAGTATTGTGCAATTCCGACACATGTACGAGTGAAACTGCCAGTTTTTTCACTTATACTGTAATATACTATTGCAGTTTTAGGTCATAAACTTCAATTTCTAATTTTAAGACATAGAACAGTGTGAAAATTTTAAATAAGTAATGGACGAAATGACAGTGTCACGTGCAAAGCAAGTAAAATGAACTGTTTCTATTATAAAAAGAATGTGTTGAAACATTTTCCTTTTCTTCTCTGTCTGTATGTGTCTTATCTTTCTCTATTTTCAGATATATTGTGTAAAAATATTTGGTAACTGTAAAATTAGTATGAGTTAAATAAATATGAAAATTGCCAAAATTTTTGGTGACCCCCTTACTGCAGGTCGTGTTCCGCAGTTTAAGAAACCCTGATTTAGTGTATCAGTAACAGACAGGTCAGGACAAAGAAAAAATGTGCCTGAAGATGAAATGAGCTATTGAGGTAAATTCTGATATTTTTTATTACATTTTTTCCCAGGTTTAAATTAGCTGGAGTTCAAAAATTTGTATTAGGTTTGATTAGGTAGTTTTTGCTTTAGAACTTGTATGGCAGACTTTTAGAGGTATGAAATGATTACTTATCTCATGAAGACACCTAGTTGCAGAATTTTCGTTAATTTTAATCTTCAAATATTGTGTACTGTAATATTTTTTCAAGTTTTAAGATCTAATATTTGATAGGAGCTATATGCTTATAGTGCATTACTTATTTATTTTTAATTTGCATAGGTATGGTCAAACAGGAACAGGAAAAACCTATACAATGGAAGGTGAAAGAAACAGTACAACATGTTCTTGGGAAGATGTAAGTTCCAATATTATAAATGTTGTAAACAAAAGTTTCTGTTCCAGGTTACACAATTATTTTCTATCAAATTGTTTTAAGAAGCATAAAAAGTGTAAAATGAATGAATAAATAAATAATAAAAATAAAATTCTGCATTGGAATTATTTATTACATTTTTTGAAACATTCATTTTACTGAAGCACTTTTTTTTTTCATTTCTATTCTTGAAACTAAGTTTAAATATTATTATATTATATGCTTTGTTTATATTGGTAAATATGTTATGCTTTAATTGATTAACTTTGGAAGTTTGTTAATATAGATGCATAATTATGCAAATGAATTATAAATATTAATTATCCAAATGTTTTTATCATTTAAATTAATTGTATTTGTTTTTACCTTAACTTAAACCTATTAGCATCAGTTTAGAATTTTGTATCAAAAGTTCAGTACTTCATAAATGGTTGCTAAATTGCAACTGTTAGTAATAAAGACTTACGATATTTCTCTCTTTGCTGTGCGACTGATTTACATTTTAACTAAAAAATTTTGCATGAAAGTTACTAATCTGAATAGAAATGTTGAAGTCCTTGTAATAATTACCAACAATCCTTTCCTTTTTTGATTATTTTAAAACACTGATTGTTGAAGGAATTGTTATTTTCCTATCTTAATCAATTACTGGGTTTCCAATCCCAGTGAATGCGCAAGCTGCATAGCCAAACTCCTGTATTTTATTGAATTTGATGTTAAGAAGTTTTAAATGATAAGACATTTTACTCAATTTTATTTACTTGCAACTTTTAAAGTTTGTATAAACTATTTATGCTTCATATTCTTACATCTAATATACCAATTACAGACATCTCTACAGGAGAGAATAAAGAGAAACATTAAGGACAGTTGGTTTGGTTTATTTAACTATGGCAAAGCACACTAGGGCTATCTGCCTAAGGGAAGGGATGCCTTCGTGGAGGACTTTCTAAGGAAAACTGGCTTGTATCTTATCTTGTATACACCCTTAACAACGGAATAAAGAACTCTTTTTCCCAAAATGAATTTTAAAATGGATTCAGAACTTTTTTTTTTTTTTTTTTTTTTTTGCATCTGTATGTACGTATCTCGCATAACTCAAAAACGAGTAGCCTCAGAATGTTAAACTTTTATATATATAGGTCTGCTATAACATGCAGATATACAACTCTTGTTTTGCTTGCAATCGGCTGCACCAAAAGTATGTAAATATATGTATAATAAATATTCTATTCGTATAAAGCTAATATAAAATTAAAATTTAATTAAGAAATTTAAATTGTAAAAATAAAAATAAAATTCAATATTGTTGCGAACTTATTTGTAGTATCATTTAAATTCTAAGAACATATGTAAATTAAGTGCACATATCAAAAACCATGAAAAAATATATTATTGCAAAAAATTAAATTGCATAAGTGAGTAATTGTTGAGCAGGTAGGAGACAGACTTATGAAGGGGAATTTGCCTCCAAACCTAACTCTTGAATTACTCAATTTGTGTTTTGTCATCCATATAGGCAAGGGTAAAAGTAAAATTCAAAACCAAATGTTGTGAATTACTAAAAAAGAATTTAAACTTGTGGAATTTTGAGAAATAGCAAGAAAATGACTAGAATTAAGATTAATTAAATGTCAATTAAGAGTAGAAAACTTCTACTCTAGTACAGCTAAAACAATTATACAATTAAAATTATAGTTTCTGTGCAAAAACAAGTATTCGTCCAGCAGGCAAGAAGACAGATTATTTGGTGCAGAAAACTGAAAGTTTACTCTTGGTCCTACTCAGTAAAAAGTTGCAAAAACTGACTTAATTCACTATTCTGCAAAGTTTCAAATGTAACCAAATATGGCTGCTGTGGTAAAAAAAAGTCTTAGTCACACTTAAACAATTTTTAAATTGTTGATAATTCTACAAATATTGCATGCAAGTTAACTAAAGGCATTAAAAACCTTAACCGGAAGATAAGAATAACATAATTCAATCATTTTTACGGCAAAAAATGCACATTTTACCAACATATAAAAATAAAAACACTGAGCCCACGAAGCCACGTAACGGAGTGGGTACATATATACATACTTTTGGTGTGGCTTATTTCAACCAAAAAGGGAGGTGCACAACTACATGTTATAGCAGTCCTATATACAACATTTCAACATTCTGAGGTATGCAGTATACATACAAATGTCACGAAGAGGTCTCTTCTGAATCCATTTTAATGCTTTTTGAAACCCATTTTGGGAACAAGAGTGCTTTATTCTGTCCTTGCGTACAGATGTCACCCAAAAACATCATTGAGTTGCATTCAATAGAGGTCAAAATGGATATTTTCATTGAAATATGACACCCAAAAATTTTCGTAATTGCAATACTTCCTGTACTTCATATGAGGAAGTAAGGAGTGAGCTAAAAATGGGTATGTTCTACTTTAACCCTCTGAGCGGTCTGGGTTTTTGTATCTTTCATGAAGACCTGTATTTAAGGACCCTTTATTAACTAAATATGTACATTTACCTATTTTAATCTCTATTTTCATAAACTTACATTCATCAAGATGTCATTTATATTATTAATGCAAGTAAGAAAGCAAAGTAATATAAGCTAGTATATAACAAGTGACAAAAAACCTCATTACCGGATAAAGCCGGTCATGGCGCCAGTGTTGCCAGAAAATTTTCAACTAAAGTAGCAAAAGAAGACTAAAAAAATCACAATTGACATCAGAGATCACAAGATTTTTTAGACATAATAGTTCCGCGTGCTCACATGACCTCTGACGTCATCACAAATTTACTGTTTATTGGTTCTATAAGTTGCAGGCTGTATTCAATTCAAAGTCTTTTTAATAACGTAGCCTTGCTTTAAAGAAAATTTTAAAACTATATTGCTTATTGTCAATTGTTTAAATATCCATTTCTTATTTCAGCATTCTGTTTACTTAAGAAAGCCTTGTTTGTTCACTGTTAAATTTATTTGTGTTGTTATTTAGAAAAATGCCTTTGCTTTGATTTTTAAGTTATTTCCATTGCTTAGTTCTTTAAAGTATTATAATCAGGAGAACGCAATCTACAAATTCTTTTGTTCAATTCGTTATCACCATAGAACTGGAAGCCAGGAATTGACTTAAAAACAAAACACATGGGTGACGAGGGGGGGAGATCAGAGGTCCCGAAGCAGTTTTTTTGTTTCTTTCCCATTTTCCCCTCTCAGGCATCAGGCTGTGCAAGCTTGTAAAGGAAAGCCCACATGTAAACAAGAATGCCAGATGCCAACTTCTGATTAAGCCTAAATAAACTACCTTTTTTAAATATAAATTACATTTAATTGATACATTGTTTTAACATAAAAGCATTTTTCAATATATTAAAAATACTTTGAAGTCACAAAATCGCAACTATTAAAATTTTAGTAGCACAAGTTTGTCAAAAGTCGCAAATTTGTGAAAAATCGCACAATCTGGCAACACTGCATGGCGTTCAGAGGGTTAAAATGGTTTTAAACAAAATTAATATTCTTTTGAGGGGGGGGGGGAAGATATATTTAAAACAATGATATTAAAAGATATTGTGAGACAATGTTTAATGTTTTATATATAAATGTAATTCTTTAGCAGTGTATGTGTATAGTCTTTAAATTATCTGTTGTTTTATAAATATGGCAGTATTTTTTAATACAGTGCAAATAAAAAAGTACAGCAAATGTAACAAGTAAGTATTCCAACTCCAAATTCCCCCCCTCCCTATTATTTTTTATATTACTATTATAATTGTTTATTTTTTTATTTAATGCTACGTTTATTGGGATCTAATGAAAAGTATATTTCAAAATAATCCTATTTAAAATTCCAAGCCAAATTTACTTGGCTAAAAATTGCATTATGTGATCTTCAAGATACTCTTGGGTTTTGAATTAGCAAGTTGATAGTTTACATGCCATCAGTTAAATTTAGCTCTAAAAGTCTCTCATACTTGAACTAGTTTTTATATGCTGATCTTTAATTTAATGTAAAAAAAAGCAAGTAAGCAGTACAGTAAAGGAGCTTTTCATATGAACAAAAAAATCTTTAAAATTAATTATTAAAGTTCACCATAAGCACAAGAATGTTAGTTTTTTTTTTTTTTTTTTTTTGCCTTGAAGCTTATAGTGTATTGTAAAGCATAAAATTTTAATATTTATATTATGAACTTTTTCTGTTATAAAATTATTATGGTAGTAATATAAGGTAATATAATATTAAAATAAGCATGACTATATCATTTAATCAAAAATTAATATATTAAAGGGGGGAGAAGTTTTTGGAGAGATATATCATATAAATTGACCAGATGTTTTATATTCATGAGTTTTAAATTACGAGGTTTGGAACTTTAATAGTGGCAACACAGCTGAAAAAACGCTATGCAACAAAACCAAAGAATATCGCGTATACCACATGTGAACTACATACCTACCTAACCTCTCAGCAAAAAGACTCGTCCTGCCTACGTCACGCGAAGAACGAATCCTTGTATTAGCTCGCGCTCTAAAGTAAGTGTTGTCAGGATGTTTTCAAAACAAGAACAACGGTGTTGGATAAAAATTGAATGTGCCAGAGGTTGTACAGCACGACAGTGTCATCAAGGGCTTCAAGAGGCTTGCGGGGAATCTGCATTGCCTTGCAGAACCATAGCAAGATGGGTGAAAGCATTCAATGAAGGACGCCAAAACGTGGCAGACATGCTGCGGCCAGGTCATCCGAGTGTCAGCGATGCAGACGTGCAAGCTGTTGCTGCACTAATGGACAGTGATCGCCACCAAACGATTCGTCAGCTGGCTGGACAAACAGGATTAGCGCATACGACTGTGCTGCACATTCTGAAGGAACGCCTGTCCATGAGAAAATTTGCTTCACAATGGGTTCCACATCAATTGACGGAAATGCAGAAATGGCTACGATACAATGCTGCCCGAACCCACCTGGAGCGCTATGAGTGCGAAGGAGATGCTTTTTTACGCCATATCATTACGCTGGATGAGACTTGGGCCTGATCGTACCAGCCAGAACTGAAACGCCAATCAAACAAATGACAAATTCATTTTTGGAGCACAATCTCCGACCAGCTTTGAGAAAAAAACGGTGACACTTTCTGCAGAATGCTCCTCTCATTTTGCATGACAATGCTCGGCCGCATGCAGCACAAGCTGTGTTTGATTTGTTCAAGCGATGGGGCTGGGAAGTGCTTTACCATCCACCATACTCCCCCGATCTAAGCCCTTGTGACTATGACTTAATTCTTAAGAGGAAGGAACCACTTCGTGGCACTCGCTTCCAAACTGTTCCTGAGATTCTTGCGGCAGTAGACCGGTCCATTCAAACTATCAACAAAACAGGTGCTGCTACAGGTATTCTGCGACTTCCACATTTTTGGAAACGGGTTGTACACAATGCTGGCGACTATATTGAAGGACTGTAAAACATGGTGACATGAATCACTTTTGTATTCCTTGTAAATAAATAGTTGCCACTATTAAAGTTCCAACCCTCGTATTTAAGATAATATCAAAGTTCTAAAATAACATGTAACAGACAAATTAATTTACCATAAAATTGCACACAGTGTTGATGTATATCAGTGCTGTTATTTGTATGTGAAATAGAATTTAGATCTTTAATTCTATCTTAAAATATAAAACATTAATAACTGAAAAATATCTTTTATGATTATCAGTGATTTTAAAAAATGCATTTTTTATTCTTGAAAGGACCCAGGAGCAGGAATTATTCCACGTTCTTTGCATCAGTTGTTTGAAGAATTAAATAAAGAAGAAAATGTAGAATTTTCTGTTCGTGTGTCATTCCTTGAGCTATATAATGAAGAGTTATTTGATTTGCTCAGTTCAACCGAATTGTCCAGATTGCGCTTATTTGAGGATTCTAACCGTAAGGTAAGATTTCAGAAAATGCATTATTTTTATCAATTTTATTTATATATTATGGTATTTTCAGATGTACTAGTAAAACTGCTAGGATTTTTCAAATACTATTAAAACTAAAAAAATAATAAAAATATTTTTGTTTTTTAAAGTTATGATAGTAGTTGCATCAAACATGCAATGACTTACAAATTAAATTAATTTTTGTCTAAAGTTATGATAGTAGTTGCATCAAACATGCAATGACTTACAAATTAAATTAATTTTTGCCATGTCATTATTCAGAGATGCACTTATATCTTGACAATTTCATTCATTTTTTTTAATGCCAAGTTGGTAAATGAAACCAGTCTTGCTTTTTATCTCCTGTAATGTTGCCTTTGAAGATCTTGCTTTATATTTCGTGCAATCTAATGCCTTATCTGTAACTTGTCTCTAACTTTGTCTTCCTTCTTTTTGATCTTTCTCCTTGAAATAATTTTTAGTGTGTTGTTTCTTTATGTCTTCAGTCCATGCTATTGGCATTCTTGTATCTTCCATGGTTGGCATTGCTTGAAGTCCTATCAAAAGTGGGCCTTCTGTGTTTTACTTTTTCTGCTGTTGCATTGGTCTTTGATTTTGAATATAATTTAGCACAGAAAATGCTATGGGGGGGGGGGGGCTTGAAAGTTAACTAAAATAGTATGGGAAAAATCAATATATGTATCTTGACATCATTGGGTATTAGTGCATACACATATGGGCAAGTACTTAATTCATTCAGAGTAATTTAATCTCTTAGCATTCCTATTTTACAACTTAACTGTTTCAAAATCACATATTGCTTTTTTTTATACTTGTTTTTATATAGACATGCGTTTACTTATATTTACTTACTTTTATTTAGACATGTGTTTTTATATAGACTTGCGTTAACTTGCTTTTATATAGACATGTTGTGTCTATATAAACGCAATGATTTATAGATGTCTTTCTTTTGAAGTTATGTTTCTACAAATTTTTATTTAGAAACACAAAGATATAAATGCAAATGGTTGCAGTATTCAATCAATATGACTTCTAATAATTTTGTGCATCTCCAAATCAGATGATGGTGGTTCAGTGGGTTTACTAATTTTAACACTTTTACGTTTAATAATATTTTAATTACTATATACAGAGCGTATTCTTAGGCCGCCGCCTTCAACATGAACAAACTTTATTCTCTTACTAAGCGAGCAACAGCACCCTCTAGCCTTTTTCTTCAAATTACACAACACTCCCCACCTGAACTCGGTGGAGAGTTCATCTTTCAATAATATATTCTAGAATATTCAATTAATATTTCGACAATAAATCCTGGAGAAATGGTTAAATATAACAAACATGCATACATAATTATAAGCACATAAAATTTTACAAAACATTAAACGATACCTATCAGCAAGGTCAGGAGAATCAAACCTAAAAGTACAAATACAAACATTAGTTAAGTTCCATATTATATAACAATTGTATAGGCCTTTTTAAGGTACCAGTAGGTGTTTTAATTATGCAAGATCTTATTTTACCATCTCTGCCTGGCATTAATTCCAAAATTTGCCCTATTGTCCAGAGATTTCTGGGATGTTATTTGATTAGCAGGGCAGAGATAGTAATCGTCTACCAATCAGAAATTGAGAGGGCGTTAGTGGAGAAGGTTCATTGGGATCGGTAAACACGTAGGTAATTGGTCTACAATTAATCATTGCCTGGATTTCAAGCTCTTTCACAGTAAGGGATGCTCGACCAATAATTTTGCATAAGCTGGATTTTATGGTTCGTACCATACGCTCCCAAAACCCTCCCCACCATGGACCCCTCTCAATAATAAATTTCCAATTTATGCCTCTAGCAGAAAATAATTCTTTCACAGATGAGTCACTCAAAGTTTTAAAAAAATATGTTTTAGTTCTTTATCAGCTCTTTTAAAAGTCTTGGCATTATCGGAGTAACACGGTGGTACACAGTCCTCGGCGAGCTAAAAATCTTCGGAAAGCTAGCAAAAAAAACTTTCAGTGCTGAGATCAGTTACTATCTCTATATGTAAGGCACGAGTGACCGCACACGTTAACAACAGCATGTAAACTTTACCTTGCCTGTCTTTCGTAAAAAATGGACCGGCGAAGTCCAACCCGGTCACAGCAAATGGAGGCGACTCTTGGATTCTGTCTGGAGGAAGTGGAGCGATATCCTGTACCCCAGGACGAGCACTATATCGTTTGCATATCACACATTTGCTGATGATAGTCTTAACACGCTGTCTTCCCTTAATGATCCAATATTTGTCTCTGATCTGAGTTAGTGTCGAATTAACTCCAGCATGGAATACCCTTTCATGCGAGTCCATGATGATCAACTCGGTAAACTTGCATTTTGAGGGTAATAGAATAGGATGTTTTAAATTCTCGTGACAGTCTGCAAATTGAATGCGACCTTTCAACCGAAGAATTCCCTCCTCATCAAGCCTTGGATTAAGGGAGTAGATGGAAGAATCGAGAATTGATTTTTTATTTGATAACTTAATTATTTCCGCTTGATACGATTCTCGTTGCGTAATTTTTACCCAATAATGTTCAGCTGCTTTAATCTCAAAAGCACTTAAAGGTCCATTCTCTGTAGACCTTTTCCGAAGCCTCCCAATAAATCTAAATACATAGGCAGTAATTCGAAGTAATTTTCCTAAAGAACTGAATTTTTCTATATGCAAAATTGGGGATTCATTGTTAATTACAGGTGCAGTCAAAATAATACTTTTTTCTTAACTCCAACGATTCTGAATTTGGTTTTAATTTCTTTTGTTTTGGAAAGTTTTCAATAGGAAAAACGTAACCAGTGTGGCCCATGCCACCACAAATCATTCTTAATTAGTGACTGAGCACTAATTCCTCGAGTTAGTAAATCGGAAGGATTTTGTTTCCCTTCGCAATGGTTCCACAATTTTTTGTTGCATATACTCTGTATTTCTGTAACACGATTGGCGATAAATGGTTTCCAATTATTTGGCGAACCTTTAATCCAAGTAATGGCGATTTCGGAATCACTCCAAAAATAAACATCCTCAATTAAATCACCAAACAATTTTTTCAAATATTTATACATTCGAGCAGCCACGAGTGCTCCCATTAACTCTAAACGAGGAAGCGTGATTGCTCTTAAAGGTGCAACTCTGCATTTCGACATGATAAAGGAAGTTTTAATTTTAGAATCACTCGTACAATATCTGAAATATGCGATGGCCCCATATGCTTTAGGACTAGCGTCCGAAAATAGGTGAAGGCTTATATTCATTGGATCGTCATCAAAGAAATTTCTCTGTATCGATATTTCAGTTAAATCATTAAGTTCCTCCCGCCAAATGTTGAATTTGTCCTTAATCTCTGCAGGAAGGACCTCATCCCAGTCAGAACCGGAACACCAGATTTCTTGCATAATAATTTTTGCCCCCGAATAACAAAGGGTGCAATAAATCCAAATGGATCGTATATTTGGGCGATGCTTTGCAAAAGTTTCCTTTTTGTAGCAAAATCGTTTCCAGTAGAAAAGTCAATTAAATTTTTTAAATTTAACTTTATATTCGTCTTCAATGGAATTCCAAATCATGCCTAAGAAATTCGATTCACTAGTTAATTTGTTGTCTGATTCCTTAATCCCATCTTGAGACCCATAAATCGTTTAATGCTTTAGAATTAGTTCTTAATTTTCTGAAATTCATCCCAGCATCCTTAAATATATTAACCGCATCTACAGATAACCGATATGCATCTTCAACCGTTCCTGCTCCAAAATATAGGTCATCGACATAGACAGAAGAATTTAACATTTGGAAACTGTCCGGCATTTTATCTTTATATTTTCGAATGTGATATTTTATAGTGGCGGCCAAAATGAAAGGAGATATAGTCAAACCGAAAGCTACGCGACACACATTTGCATAATCTTAAAGGAGTCATTATTTTCATTAAACCAAAGAAATTTTAGAAATTTTCTATCACCTTCAGCAATTCCTATCATCAAAAAGGCTTTTTCAACGTCTCCACAAAACGCTATCTTAAACTTACGAAAATTTAACATAATGTCTAGTATATTTGGATTTAGATTAGGTCCCGATTCAAGGCAGTCATTTAAACGAATTCGTGTCCTCTGTCCTTGAGCTAGCATCGTACACAATTCTTACCTTAGTAGTTTCACTAGGTCGTATCACTGCTCGGTGCGGCATAAAATATCCCAAATTTGTATCATTATTTGGACATTCCTCCACAATTCCTTCTAATATCTGGTTCTCAATTATATTTTTATATTCCCGAAAAATCTCCGGAGTTTTACTTAGTTTATTGTGAAGGTTTGCGAATCGTTTCTTAGCTTACTACCTCAAAATTATTTCCTAAATTATTCGGACTGTATTTCCAGATTAAATTTGCCTCATATCTTCCGTTTTTTCTAAACTGCAAATTTCTTTCAAACTGGTCTACTATTTCGCAGTCAATATCGGAAATAATCATCAGAATCATTAATTCCCATATGTTCTAATTCCCCAAAAACCTTTTAAATCTTTCAACACAACAGTGTTTGTCATTACCGCTAAATTTTCAGAACAATTTTTGTTTGTTTTATTTTTCTCTCTCGATTCCTGCGGCAACCCAACCAAACACAGAACTGACTGCGTACAACCCTTCAGATATTTTAATTTAATTCTTTCAGAATAAACTACATTCCAGAATTCATCCCCTCCAATTAATATCTCAACATCTATGTTATTTTTTCTTGCGCAATCGGCGATCTGCAACCCCATATGCTCCATGAAGTCTGCAATTTGTTTACTAGGCACACTGATGGACGCCGAGGAAATAACATCCGAGATCAAACATTCAATTTTTATTTTATTATTTTGTTTCCAATTCTGAATTTCGATTTCAACGACCGGATAGGAATGATTCATTGCCTTCGTCGCACCAAATGAATAAACAGAAAGTCTTTCATAACGGATTGGAGTAAGTTTTAAATGGTCGGCCAATTTTTTCGTTATAAAGGATCTGTGACTGCCTTGATCAAGAATTAATCTAGTTAATTTTGATTTATACTTAGAACAAGCATAAACTGTACAAGTTTGTAATAATATTTCCCTGGCATTACAGTCATTATTATTATCACCTTGAGGAACAGAAGCAATCAATTTTAAGTTTTGAACTTTATTTCTTTCCTCAGAATTCAAAGTCAGAGATTCAGTTTCATTTTTGGAATAACCTTGTTCCAACTTTTTGTTTACAAGGGATTTATTAGTACAAATCGATTCATTGTGATACATACCGCCACATTTATTACATTTAGTTTTATTTCTGCACCTTTCTGATGTATGGAATTTTTTTTAAAACAAGAAAAGCAGCGGTTTTCGGATCTTAGTTTCTTTAATTTATCAGAAACATTCACTTCGCATTTAAATGACTCGTGCAAATTATCACAAAAGATGATGCATTTTCGGTTAACTGCAGTATGAAATGCAGCCGTGGGGTGTATTTTTTTACATATTTTCTAGTTTCATATTTTGATTGATCGACTCGCGGAGGCACAGGATTTTTTTCCTTTCGCTTAATACTAGATTTGAAACTTCCCTGCATTCTATTTCCGTTTTAATAAATTGTGTTAATTCCGAAACTTCAACTTTATCTTTCGATCCTCTTTGCCGATTAAATTCCAAAACTAAATCGTCCGGAATTAATTTTAATAATATTGGAATTAATAAATGTCCATATGAGCCAGAAGTTACTCTAAAAAGTTTCCAAATTACGAATCGAAACTTCTAATTCGTCATATAATTTACGTAAAGCCTTTACGTTAGCAGAATTTTTAACAGCTTCTAAATTGAGAATTTTATTCATGAATGAATTAATGATCAGGTCTTTTCGACCATCATCTGTCTTTAGTAATGCTACACAACTATCATAATTACTTTCTGTTAACTCAAAGCCTGACACAACATTCGAAGCTTGTCCCGTTAAGAATGTTTTTAAGTATACAAATTTTTGTATTTTTGAAAGCGTTTCGTTTTTATGTATGTATCGAATTTTCGAAACTATTCCAAAATTCATTCCATTGTTTGGGGTCTCCCCAAAATTTATCAATCATTAATTTTGGTAATTTCAGCGCGTACTACTCCCACTAGAACTGGAACTTACATGCAAAATTCCATTACCACTAGACTGGTTTAAATCAGAACTTTGGGGATTCCTCGCTGGCGGTACTGCGGTAACCGCACCTAGAAACTGCTTAATTTGACTACAAGCAATTATACATTTGTCATTGTATTCTTCGCTTATACTACAATCTTCTTCAATTAAGTTAACATCAATTAACTCTTGTATTTCATCATCAAGCGTTCTCAAATTATTTTTCTTTTCGGTTAATAATTCAAACAATTCTCGTAATTCTTTAATCAAATTTTCCTCCCCTTCAATTTTTAATTTATCTTCAATCACTTTAATTAACCTAGTAACAGACGATCTCAATGTGGAACGTTTACGTTTCAATCTATCTAACTTCTCTTCCATTTTTTAATTTAATTAAATACACCCACGACAGCAATAATAAATACTTACTAATGTACTACAAATAATCACTAAATAATTAATTTAAGATTTCCCTACCTTTATTTGGAATTCCATTGTCACTTGAATATGAAATATCCATTGAAATCGAAACACTTGGATCGAACACCTAAAATCTTCACAAAGCCTTAATTCCTTACGCCGATGCACCATCTAATAATTTTGTGCATCTCCAAATCAGATGATGGTGGTTCAGTGGGTTTACTAATTTTAACACTTTTACGTTTTAATAATATTTTAATTACTATATACAGAGCGTATTCTTAGGCCGCCGCCTTCAACATGAACAAACTTTATTCTCTTACTAAGCGAGCAACAGCGCCCTCTAGCCTTTTTCTTCAAATTACACAACATGACTAAATACCACAATATTTGCATAGTCAATGATATTTGAGGCTTCCTGATTATGTAATTTTTTTTTCTTCTGCTTTTTATGTTGGACTATAATTTAATGTTAAATCGATCCATACGTAGCCATTTGCTTGTGTGCGTTGTACAAAATGAAACGTAATTTTTTTCTAAATAAATAGGGCCCACCAGTGAGCAAGTGGTTAAAACTACTAAATACTGGTAGTTCAACCTGGCTTGGGTTCAAACCCAGATGAACCGGCTGATTGCATGGTTGGTTTTCGTGGATTTCCTCTATGTAATAATATGAATGAGTTTCTCTCGAAAAGTCTTCAACAAAGGCATCCTTCCTGTTAGGCAGATAGCCAGGGCTTTGCTGTATCAAATAACCCAACCTTATTTACAGCTAAGTGAATTACTCTTAATATGTAGTAGAACAATTATTATTAGAAACAAAAAGTATAATTTTATTTGTATGCATAAAGATGTTTATTACTTTTCATCCGTATGAAGTGCTTAAATTAAATATGAAATACTGTTGCCAATCTGTAATGAATGAATTCTAATAAGAAAATAGGTATGGCTAGTAAATTGATCACATGTATGTCTTTGTCTGTGTCTATGTTTGTTCTCTTTTGAAGCATTTTTATGTTGCTATAGTAAAATGAACTTCTAAACTGTTACATTATTAGTCAACATTATTATTATAATAAAAAGTTAAATGGATAATCTTATCTGTATTAAGAAGCAGAAATGAAATAATTTTAAGATTTTTATTATTTTAAAAGAACTGGCTTATAGAAAGAACTTCTAGGTTCGGCTATATTTACAGGTGCTTGTACAGTTTATTTAAACTGGTTTATATGTATAACTAACTATCATACCCTCCTCCTTTTTTAAATCACCTTAATTTAAATTTTTACATTACTTTTGTACCCTGCATTTAGATTTTATTAATTTTTGTTGTTTAACAGAAAAAATGAATTTGTAAATGTAAAATTTCTTTTACTTGTATTACCACTAATATTTTTAAAGCCATTTTTGAATTCAGCTGTTTTAATTTAAAGGCATATGGCTCATATAGTTTTTGCTCAACTGGAGTTACATAAAAATACTAGAAACATGCTGATTGCTTTCTCAGTAACTAGCATCTTCAATATAAAATGTAACGTTTAATCAGCAAGCAGAGATTCAGATACATTCAGAGTTTTTTTTTTTTTTTTTTTTAATATCAAATATTATTGTTTTTGTAAATAAATATGTTTTTGTATCAAAATTTTACTTTTTTTATAATTAACTCATATTTTTTGTTTTATTTGCAGGGTTCTGTAATTATTCAAGGTTTAGAAGAAATCATGGTGAATAGCAGAGATGAAGTATATGCTATTTTAGAAAAAGGCACATCTCGCAGACAAACAGCTGCAACCATGTTAAATGCTACGTCTAGCCGTAGTCATACTGTTTTTTCAGTAACTGTGCATATAAAAGAAAATACTATTGAAGGAGAAGAACTTTTAAAAACTGGAAAGTTAAATTTGGTAATTATGAAATTTAGATAATAATCATTTAAATTTCTTTGAATTAATGATTGTAGCTAAAAATAAATTATTAATTGTGTTTTATAAAAATTTAATAATTTAGAAAATGTCTGCAAAATCAATTATAAAAATTAGTAGGAAATCTGCAGTAGTAATATTTTTAAATATATACTTTCAAAATTGGACTGCTTTATTTTTGTTCTTAAGATACGGATTAATACAATCAAATAGTAAATATGAAAAATATTATTTACTATTGTATGCAGCATATTTGTGGGAGGATGAACTATGTTCAAAATGTAAAATTTTGTCATTATTTGTTATATATTTTTTCTCACATTTCAGTTACCTTATATACTTAATTTAAATTAAAGGTTGATCTTGCCGGAAGTGAAAATGTTGGACGTTCTGGAGCTGTTGACAAGAGAGCCAGAGAGGCTGGTAATGCTATTCTTGCAACTGAAGTAAAATCTACTTCTTTTTAGGATGAATCTTATAACATTTTTTTATATTTCAGGTAACATAAACCAGAGCCTTTTGACCTTAGGTAGAGTGATAACTGCTTTGACTGAGAAACAGCCACATGTACCTTATAGGTAGTAATCAAATCCTTATTTGATTTCTCGAAATATGATTTGTTCTAAATTTGAATATGCACTTGTAAAATTCTGTCTGTATGAGGTCCAATGAAACTGTATTAGTAAGAGTATAAAGAACAGTAATCTTAACGAGAGAAGCAAAAATATTGGAGTTTTATCAATGCAGTGAAAGTTCTACAATTAAGCTTTTATTTTATTGATAAAGTAATTGAAAAACATGTAAAATGAATGTTTTTTAATTGAAGCTTGAAGATATATAATAACTACAGTTTATCATGTAAATTTCTTTAATTATAAAACAATGATTTGTTGCCTTAAGCCTATTGCTACAAATTGTTGTTTTACAATTAAAATGGTTAAGCATATAGAACTGTTAGCCTTTCTCTATCTTTTACTTCTTTTTCCTTCCCCCCTTTTTTTTTCTATTTTCAGTTTCTGATAATTAAATTTGTACTGTGATATCATGGTTTTCTACATTTCATGATATTAAATGAAATGTAGGAAAAGTTGTATATAATTTAATATTCTATACATGGGAGTCATATGGTATACATCAAATTTTTTAATTAAATTTTCATACTTTCTTTTTGCATAATCTAAAGTTCTGGCATTTTGATTTGATTTTAAATTTTGGCACGATTTAAAGTCTGTATTTTATATAATTTAGCTTTAAAAATTTTTGGTTAAAACTTATGAAAATTTGCATATTGTCTTTAAATGGATCATTTTTAAACAATTAAAAAATTCTTTATTCAAAAGTTTTAGAAATAGATATATGTATTTAAGCAATAAAAACATTTTTCAAAAATTAACAGTAAACTGACAGTATCTGCGTCATTAAATCTAATTTTTTTTTTAAGAATGCAATTTAAAGAAGGATGATAATTGATCATATTTAGAAATATATTTGATAATCTGCAGCTTACTTTCAGGTACTTCACTGTATGCAATTAAGCACACTAAAATTAATTATTTTCTCAAACATTCATCTCACTTTTAAAAATGACCATCTTAGAAAGATGGTAGATGAGAGATATGGATCATCTTACAGAGATGGAGATTTTTTCTTCGGAAACAAAGGACCGAAAAGTTAGTAATGCAGAATATCTGTTCTCTGCCTTTTTACTGGAGCACAACCTGCCACTGAATGCATCGGATCACGCTGCAGCCTTATTTAAAAAAATGTTTCCCGATAGTGAAATCGCTAAGAAATACTCAAGTACAAGAACCCAAACAGATGCAATTGTTAAAGAAATGGGTTTGAAAAATAAATCTTCAGTTATTGATTGCATTAAAACAGTTCCGTTTGCCCTTTCTACGGATGGAAGCAATAATACCGATTCAAAACTGTATCCAATTGATGTTTCTTTTTTTAATTCAGAGTCTTTAGAAATTGAGTGCAGTTTACTTTCTGTCCCCACTTTAGAAGGACATTTGACAGGCTTTAATATAGCACAGCTAATTATTAAAACTTTAAAAGAAAATGCAGTCCCTCTGGATAATTGCTTAGCACTTGGTGCCGATAATGCACTAGCAATGGTAGGCTTGAAGACTGGTGTTGTAGTCATCTTAAGAAAGAAAAATTCAGATTTTCAAATTATGAGGTGCCCTTGTCACCTCTTAAATTTAGCAGCTGAAAAAGGGGCAGCTTCTTTACCAATAAATGTGGATGAACACATTGTTGATATTTATTATTATCTTGAAAGGAGTTCTAAAAGAAAGGGAAAATTGAAACAGTTCCAACAGCTGTATAACAGCAGTTTACAATTAGAAAACTTGGATGAAGTTATAAAATCAACTAGGATTGACATCCAGTGGAGTTTAATTGGAAAACTGAAAGGTGCTGATAGAATTTTAAAATATAGTAAACTGTCTAGGATTATGTTGGCCATCTTGACAGTTCCCCATAGTAACGCAGAGTGTGAGAGGATTTTCAGTGTTGTTGCAAAACCAAGGACTAAATTTAGATCTAATATTAGTGATGACACATTAGAAAAACTTTTATTAGCAAAAGCAGGCCTACGTGGCAATTGCTATGAACAAAATTATGAAGTGTCTTTTTAAAGAAAGCAAAATCTGCCACTTATAACATTTGTACGAATACTGATTAAAGTGTCTTTTGTTGTTGTTGTTGTTGTTTTCTTAAACGATGCAAGTAATAAAAATGCTTTTTATGTGTAAGGTATTTTTGTGTTGCTTGCATTTAAGAATTAGTTACTATTTAAAGTTAATTCATTATTAAAAACTATAGTTTTATAATTTAAAAAGTCTTTTTAACATTGTGAAAAATCTCCTGATTTTTTATTGTCATAGGTTGGCAAGTATGATATTATAATACCATGGGACATTTGTTATGGCCTTCATTTCCATTCGCCTTGATTAATTCAGGTGCTTATACAAAAATATTCTGTTAAACCATCTGTAACAATTTGATTCTGTACCAGTATTTGTTGACTCGGAGCAGGCTTGTAAGATGTATAGTTACAATTATTTCTTTTACCTACTCTTTGAAATTATTCTGTTTCATTGGAAAAGAGCATTCAGATCTGTATCAATGTAAAATATTGGCCTATCAAATATTAGTATATCAATTGAAATATTAACATTCATCAGTAAACACAATATATAGTTGTAGTTGTAGAGGATTTGAAGAATTGCAGTATAAATTATTTGCATATTTAAAATTATCTGAAATGTATCAAACTTTGCAAATTTTTTAATACTAATGATTATTTTTCATTAGCAACTGAAAAGTGTGGAAGCTCTATAAAAAATTTAATGTCGTATTGATCCAAGTATAAAGTGATGTTTCTCCTGTGAAAATGTGAATTTTCTTTCTTTGTAAAAACAAAGTCCATTTTATATGTGCATCTTAAATTTATATTTATAAAGTACAATAAAGTAAATATCACTTATCCTTTTACTTTTTACTATTAATGAGTAATTAAGTGACCAAAGCTGGAAAATAGTAATAGTTTGCCATAGGGCTTTCTTCCTGAAAACAGAGCAAACCGACTGCATGAAGTTCTGTGATTTTCCTTATTTTTAGTATTAAATGTTTAGTAGTGTGGGTTACCAGATGTCTTTTGGTTCTTGATTGTGACTTTAGTAGTGTGGGTTACCAAATACCACCAAAGAGAATTTGGTTGAGAAGAGAAGAATCTTGGTCGTGACTTTTAATTATTATTATTATTTTTTTTTTAACTATACTATAGACATTGAATAAACTGATTTTGTCTACAGTATATTATAGAGGTGTACAATCTGCTTGCAAATAGCGATCCAATAAAACTGAGCTGTTATTGGAAGCATCCAGGAAAACTGGATTCCTGTTTAGAGAAGGAAGGAATGTTTCTCTTCTATAATGGGAATGAATTTAATTTGTATAATTTCTTTACTTTTGGAACATTTTTTAATTCTAGAATTCTAATGTTAGTTTTATGTAGAAAAGGGAATCTTAAAACTGTAGTTGAAAGAAATTAGAACAGGAAATTGGCGATTCATTTCTTCAGTCCCACTCCTTGTTCAGTTCTTTTTGCTCTTCACTCCATTCTCGCATGCCATTCTTGATTCATTCCTTGTTCCCAGTCTTAATCATCAAGGTTACTGATAGTAAATGGTGTTTTGAAGATTCAGTTTAGTGAGCAAACTGCTTTGATCTCTGATCATGTGGAAGAATTGTTTTTGCCCGCTCAAGTACATAATTTATTTAATATATACATGAAGAAGTAATTTAACATTAATCTGTATTTATGATTTTATTTAATACAATTTTTAAGCAATTTATTTAAGATTATTAACAAGTAGCATATCCGTGCTGCTACCTGTGAATATTCAATTTTAACATAATCCCAATTTTACTTTTTGGTTGTCTTAGTTCAGCAGTTGCAGTTCTTTTCAGTATTTTTAACCTCAAAACTTTTATTTACTGTTGTGCCAAATACTGCCTATTATTCACTCTACCTGCATTATTCTTCTGCTCTGTGAAGAGGAGTTTATCAATCTCCATGATTTTGTCAGATATTGTGCTAAGAAACATATCTACTTAAAGTTATTCAAGGTATTTAAGATGAAGTACTAAGTTCATTTATTATATTTCTCAGTAGAATTATCTGCAACATATCAACTTCATATTTCTCAGGCTATCATATGTGCCTTTAATTTTCTTTGTAAAAAAAATTCAAAAATCAGGGTCATTTTATAGCCATGCCAATATGTCCTGCTGAGATAAAAAGATATCAGTTTATTTTTAACTGGTTAGTTAAAGAGACTAAGAATGTTTTTCTTTAAACATGCAATTATTTTCTCAGAAAGCTGGCTATTCTTATTGTTAAAGATTTCTGTTAAGAAACAGTGTTATAGCAAAATGCTTCTATTGTAACTATATAGCATAAAAATATAAAATATTTTCTTGAATAATGATATGTGTTTATATTAGAAGTAGAATATTTTTCTTACTTTGCTAAAAAGCATAAAAACATTTATAAAATGCATGCATATTTTTAGTGGTGCACACATGCATTTATTAAAATTTTATTAATGCTTATTTTTCATATTGAAAGCTATGTGCTATTTTTAATGTTATAAGTGCTCTTGCATTTAAAAAGTATATTTCTTATGTTATTTTGTGGTTCAGATTGTAAATGTACACAAATATTTTTCTAATTCAAAGACTGAGGAGATAATATAGTAAAGTGCAGATTTTGGAGGCTTTCATTCAATTAACCTTATAACTGTTACTTGGAAAGGAAGGCTGTATTTTGCATAATATTATAAATTATGTAATACTTCTGTTTTTATTTACTTAGGGAAAGTAAGCTAACTAGACTACTTCAAGACTCTCTTGGTGGGCATACAAAAACATCTATCATTGCTACTATATCTCCTGCATCATGTAATAGTGATGAAACATAAGCACTTTGGACTATGCTACAAAGGCAAAGAGTATAACAATAAAGCCTGAAGTGAACCAAAAAATGACAAAAAGAGCTCTTATTCGTGTAAGTATAATTAGTTTTGTATGCACATCTCTTTTGGCTATTGTTATAAATATGTAAATTAACTGTATAATTTAGTTTAATAAATAGATAGATTTTCACAAAAGTTGCAAAAAGGAGACTATTGTAAATGCAAAAAATATTCAGTCTGTTTGAAAATAAAATTGTGATGGTGATGAATAATAATAGAGAAGAGTTAAGTAAATTTAAAATGTTAGCTTAAAATATTTCTTCTCTCTGTGATTGAATTGATGCAGTTTTAATATGTCAGGTGACAACTTTATTTTAAGTTTTAAAGTCATTAATAATAATATATACACTGCAGCAGTGATTTTTAATGTCACAGGAACTTAAGGTGAATGTATATATACGTAATATATTCAGGAGTAGGAATTTGGATGGTGTAGTGTTGATCCATAATGACCAGGAAATTGGAGGCGAAGGCAGTTAAATCTTCAGTTTTATTTTCAACAACATGTTACGGCTACACACAAGTCAACACATTAAATGTGCCTGTTCCAAAAGGCTTACATTTTTGATAACTTTATAGCAAGAAAGCTGCAGCAGACAGACAGACAGACAGCAGTCTAGCTAGGCCCAAGCATCGAAAGCAAGTGTGTTATGTTCAGGATGAAATCTTAAGTCAAACTGAGTTAGTTTTGGTTCTCAAAGCATTTTGGTTGGATAGTTAATATTGCTGTGAATTCTACATTGGCTAGTTTAGTTTTAGTTCCATTTACATCATCATAATTATGTAAGAATCATATGGCATAGAATAGTCCTCGAAATGACACAGTGCAGAGAGGGGTTACTATTTTTAGAATAGGGAAGGGAAATTTATGTTGCTAATTGAATCTTTTAACATATTCTTTTATTTTTTCGTACATATGACTGTATGTTTTCATATGGTCTGTCTGCCCTTTAAGAAAAAAGGCGTAGCGACAGAGAAGCCTTTTTAAAGAAAACGTGTTTAAAAAGCCCTAGCAATTGGAAAAAAAAAAAAAAAAATAATAAATAAATCATAACATTTTGATCCTGTAAAGTATAATTTATAAATATCATTTTTTTAAACAAATTTTGCTGTGATTTTTTATTTAAGCAAACTAATGGGAATTTTATTTTGAACATTATATTTTACACATTTCTGTGACTGAAAAATGCAAAACAGTAATATGATTGTTTCTCCTTATAGTGTTTACCATTGCAGGTTCCTTTTTTCTTTTAATTTAAAATAAAGCTCTTAGTACAAATTAAATATGCAAAACTTTTAAAGAACTTCCTTTATACTGAAAATTGGTGATTTTTTTAAAAAGTGCAATTTATCTAGGTTAATGGTTTTAAAGGACATCCTTTTAAGGAGAAGGTATAATAAATAGTAATTTAGAAAACATCAGTTCATTTTATTGCTTGTTCTTAATCTTTTTGTAATACCGTCATATGAAAATATCATATTCAATTTCATTTAAGGTACAGATAATGATAATTATTCTTCATTATTTGCCAATGAGGCATTTTCTTTAGCAAGTTTTCATAGTT